ACTTTCGATGAAGGAAGGCTGTGCGCTGCATGGTGCGGGGCGGTTGGTGCGTCTGCAGACGGCGCCTGGTCGCTGCGAGAAGGTCAACCAACTGCAATTAAGAGGAGAAGGAGAGCCACACAGGCTACTTGATCATGGTTTCATGCGATGATTCCATTGTGTTGGGTTGGTTGCCTCCCTGCCTGTCTGTGTTCTCTTGCAGATGGGAGCCCTTTGAAGTGCTCGGCGAGTAGGTCTGACTGACGTCGATGGAGCAGTGGGTGGATGTGACGTGCTGCCCTGTCTGTCCCCCCGCCCTTTGTTGTGTTGTGTGCTGCAGGTACACGGGGTACCTGGTCCCGCCGTCACGCGATGGCCCATACGTCTGCAAAGTGAGCGGGCCGGGTCGACAGAGGGCCGACAGATAGAAGTGCTGCTGGTGATGACATGGATTTCTGTGCATTGGCCGCAGTTGGTGCAGGACGAGGCCGACTGGGAAGCTGTGTCGGTCGACGCATCCAAGTACGGCCGCTTGCTCATGGGCCCTCCTGTGGTCATCGGCATCCATGTGTGGTGTTTTTCAGGGCCGGGAACGAGCTCCGTTTTGTCAACGACTATCGCGGCATTTCGGAGCAGCCCAACGTTTCGTTCAGCAGCTGCTTCATCGACGGGCTGCCGCGGACCCTGCTGGTGGTGACGAGGCCTGTGGCCTTCGGTGAGGAGTTCTTGGCCGATTATGGTCAATCGTATTGGGCGGCGAGGGGTGGTGGCTCAAAGGGGGGCGGGGCAGATGAGTGAAGTGAATGGATGCGGCGAATGTATAGGACGTACAGTTAGCGATGACCATGTGTGTCGAAAGATATAGTTCTTTTTGCTTTGGTTTGGTGCATCTTGCTTGTTCGGGATGCTTGTTCGGGATTTCGCGTAAAGCATTCAAGTGGCTCTCCCTGACAAATATGCCGTCCACCACCGGTCCCAGCATTGTCACCATGTACCAAGACTGACTCTATGTACAATCACACGACGCCAATCTCATTCACCAGCCGTCGTCTGCCCGCCTAGCTCCCTTGCTAGCTGATGTTGTGCTGTTGTACGGGTGGTGCGTCTGGGCCACTCCCCCCGTCGGGCACATCGACCAGAGCGACGGCCGTGACGGCTTTGGTGTGTCCGGTGTAGTCGATGGCCGTCTGGCCCGTCTTAACCTCCCACAGCTTGGCCGTCGTGTCGGACGAACACGTCACCACATAGGCACTGTCGCTCGAGAAGATACCGCCCCACACCCACCTGTGGAACGGACGGACGCATACGCACAGACACAGCCGGCCCGCCACGTGGCGGCCTGCCGTCACGCCGGCTGAATGTGTGACTTAAGTACCTGATGTGACCGATGAGCGAGGTCTCCTTGGCGAAGCCGTCGACATGATAGCGCCACAGACAGGCACTGCCTGACACACAGACGAGAGGGAGTGAGCGACCATTCTCCCCTTCGCCGCCTCGTTGTGTGCGCCTCTCACTCACTGTCGGCCGATGTGGTAATCAGATACTGCGACTGAGGGCAGAACCTAATGCGCAGCACTGCACACACACACATTGACCTTAGATGACGTCGCTGCTTGCCTAGACCCTGCTGCCGTGTGTGTCGTGTGGCACCATCCCAAGCTGACTGACCGTATGCGCTGTGGGCGTCGATTTTCTGCATGGGATCGAGAGTGTCTGGCAGGTACCGCCAGACAAACAGGGTGCCCTTGTGGTTGG